TTGTCAACAAGTGCACCTGATTCGAAAACCCACCCACACAGCATGACGACAGGAAAAGTGTGATATAACATGCAACACGAACTCCGCATAGGACAGCTCAAGCGCTGCCCATGCGGTGGCACTGTCTATCCCAAGCCCTTTCTGGCTTTTTGTTTGGAAGGCCTGAAAGCCTCGAACCCCACCTGCGACAAAGCCTAGAGAGTAGCAGTAATTTGCGTCGAAGTTCGAAGGCATGGCGCAGCGGCCTTCGTAGCCGAAGTAATGCGGCATAAAACTCCATTGTTCCGGATCTTTGCCCTGCTTCACCAGTTCATTTTCCAACAATAAAATCAAAAGCCTCTCGGTCGCTATCTTCGCAACCTACGCAGAAAAGAACAAACGCCTTGACAGGGCAAACATGCGCACATCTTGCCGTGAACATTCCAATCGGCAGTACACTAAGGTCTGCAATTTTCCAGACCTACAGAGATCATCCATGATATTCGCATTCAGCATATGCAGAAAACCTGAAATGTCATGCATTATGGCACTAAACAAGAGAACACTAACAATTCTCCCCACAGAAATTGCAGCAGCCAGCCCGATTGTTAAAATCGAGGAGCCCTATAGCAAACAGACTGCTTCACTGTTGGGGTTCCGCGGGTGCTAACACGGCAATCGGTGTAAACGGGGGAAGGTAAACAAAACAGGCTACAAAGGCCATGAAGCAAACTACAGCCCCACTTGTACATCACACAATCCACCGCGAAACGAAAGCAATAAATGGTCAAAGGCAGGTCCTTGTATCCAATAGCAGCAAATTGACGCTTTACGTTTATTCCTAACAAGCTAGGTATGCCGACTTCCAACTGCTACTTTCCGCATTTTGCTCTAAGCTAAAGCCTAATCCAAATGCGCCACTTGTGACGCAAAAGAAGACGCCTGCTGGTTCCTTTGAGGATTACGAGAAAGACCCAAAACCGACACCCTTGGCAAGCGCACCTGAATATATCCCGTGCTTTCCCTGTCCATGAGCAGCTGATCTTGAATGACATCAGGCAGGAAATCCCAAACAGCGCGAGTTGTTTTCAGCAGCTCTGGCTTGAAGGGCTGAGGAAGCAGAGAAAAAACACGCCATTGCTCGGCCAAGAACAAGATGGAACTTTGATGCAAAAACTGCCTTTGATGCAAAAACTGTGTAGAGGCTAAACGGAAAACCCTGTTGGTGTCCCTCTAGATTCCCGCCAGCTCAACGTGCCAGATAACATGTGTACAAAGATTAAGCCTTCTCTTTGACTACGCAGCATAGGAATAAGAATACAACTCTATGACTGTGGTACTGGTTGCTCCGCAAGTCGAGCGCCATTGCATAGCGCGGAAAGCAGATGGCCATGTATACGCACCTGTCCGGTCTTCAGAACGCTGTTGAGTTCTTTGATGAGTTGCTTCATCTCTGGAATAAATTCAATAAGACCTTCAGGGACGAGGATGACGCCGTACATCTTGCCTTGTTCTGCGCGCTTGACAACAAGGTCAACCAGTTCCTGAACGATGCGTTCGAGGGACATATTTTCTCTTTCCACTTCTTCTCCGATGAAGACCAAATTTGGGCGGGCTTGCATTGCGCACTCCAAGACAAGGTGCGAGGCACTGCGCCCCATGACCCTCACGAAGTGGTAAACTTTCTGTGAGCTGTTAACGTCGATGCACAAGTTCCCTATGAGCTCCGAGTACGTCTTTGCGGCCGTGTCGAACCCAAAGGAAGCCTCAATCAAAGCGTTTTTCAGGTCTCCGTCAATCGTCTTGGGGACGCCAATCACACAGCAGCTCGGCAGCTCTATTTCAAATGACTCCGCCAGCAGCGCCGCGTTGCTATTCGACCCGTCACCGCCCACTAGCACAAACCCATGCAGCTCCAGCGACTCGCACACCTGCAGAGCGAAGCGGCCGCAAGATGAATCGCATGGACAAGGACGCGCGTCACGTGGAAAATCAGCATTTTGTGTCGCCAGTGCAAGCAGGAACACCTAGGTAAGCCTGCAACAGCGTGTGAGAACGAATACGCTTCAATAAGATGCATGAATCTGAAGCTGTTCCACCAGAGTATGAGCGTCAGTTTATACGCTCCGTGCCTATACTTCACTCAATATGACAGCTATAACAAGTACACAGCACGCAGAAAGCCGTAAGTAGGATATGCTTATTTGCGCGCGTGTGTTGCAAATATATGTGTGCGCGAAAGCACACCTCTCTTGCGCGCTGAATGTCCTCTTCTCCCCCAACGCGCCCTCGGCCAGACCAGAGCATGTCGAAGCCGCCCTGGTTCCTGAAATCTTCCATTAGCTCCTCAGTTACCACCTAACACCGGACAAGCAAACAAAGGGGAATCTGTAAATGAATAAGCGCAAAGCAGGCGACGAAATACAGACAAGCGAGCACGGCATGAACAAATACACACGGCAACAAACAACAGGATACACTTCAGGCTCTGCAGTTTAAGAACATAAATCCGATATTGGGATATTAATTATATCCAAATAATTCGGCGTTCTCGATATACACGCACATCTCACGTATTAGGCGGCGTTCTCTCTAGGCCGCTATGGCGCCCGCAGAACACGCAGGCTGTGTTCGATGGGTAAGGCTTAAGGTTTATATTCAGGACTACTGAAGACTGCCTTGGGCTTTGCGACTTACTGTGTAGTTTTGGTTCATAACACCATCGAGTCCACCCATGAACCCGACGAGCATTGACTCAGGGTGCTTTTGTTTGACGAAGTCATAGAGGCCAGCAATGACGTTGTGACCTCCTGGGGCGGGGCCGCCACTTAAGACAATTCCAATTCTTAGCGCTTTGGAGAGGGGGTGTTCGGGCGGATCCTTCGGAGAGGCGACGCCGCTGCCCATGCCAGGCACCACCTCCACATACTTCTTCCCAAAGGTGGCCGGGAAGAAACCCCGCAGCTGCTGCTGCACTTCAGCTGTTTGCCGGAGCGAAGGATGATCTACGGGGCACTCCGACTCCACCAGCTGCAGGTGCGTGCTCTCTAGTGCTGAAGGCAGCGTGCACCGCCACGCGCGTCGCAGGCGCTGTAAGGGAGAAGACTGCAGCACAAGCCACCACCAGCGAACACCTCGCCACACCCTGAGCCCGTTCCCCTAAATCCGAATAAGGGATATACAAACCCTAAATCTGAAACAGCTAACAGAAGCCCTGACACCTCCAGTGCAATCCATAGGATCAAATCTAAAGTGGAAACAAAGACGGGTGCAACTTAATAAACTCCTGCACGGTACCGACGAACCAACACTGACAAAAAGAAGAACAGCAACTCACAGAGACCACTAAGAAACTAAAGCCGCAAGACACGAACCAAAGGAGTGGGTCGCCGGCCAGATGCCCTCTAGAGATGATGATCACGAGAGTAAGACACGCAAATACCCAAGCAAGCACAGAGGGGACCAACAGGGAGATGGCAGAGGCATCAGCCAACAGAAACAGAAACACAGGCACGAAAAACGGGAAGATCCGAGCCGGAAGAGCGCCAAATAGGAGGCAGAGCTGCACAGGAGGAATGCAGCGGGCAGCAAACGCCCGAGAAGAAAGCAGTTCAAAGGGCATTCAAGGAGAAACAACAATCAACTGAGGCAATACGAAATGTGAAAAGCGCCAAGAATAGTAAACGCACCCGTTCAAAGAGGTCCGCAGAATGGAGATGCACTTTTCCGGTTGGTTCCTGTTCCTTCAGCACGGCATCTACAGAGGCGGGGGGCTCTGCGGGGGCGTTTGGCGCCAAACTGCCAAAGACATTCCCCTCTGTCATTCCAAAAGAAGAAAGACGCCTCGACAGCTGTCGACTCCTCGCGTCAAGTGAAAGGCCCATCCCTGCCCGGAAGCTGAACCGCTTCACAGGTCTAGACCCCTGCTGCTGCCTCCCTGCTTGTGCAGAGGTCCCTACTGGGGCACCCCCAGCGCCATGTGCAACCACACCCGGCCTCTCTCCTGGGTTTC